AACCAATACATATTTGTCAATAATTACACTGAATGTTAATGGATTAAATGCACCACTCAAGAGACAAAGAGTTGCAGATTGGATAAGAAAACAAAACCCATCAATATACTATCTACAAGAGACACACCTTAGATACAAACACAAAAACAGATTAAAAATCAAAGGTTGGAAAAAGATACATCAAGCAAATGGTAGCCATAAAACTGCAGCAGTGGCAATATTAATTTCTGACCAAATTGACTTTTAAGACAAAAACCACGTACAAAACAAGGTAGGGCATTATATAATGATTAAAGGGACAACTGAACAAGAAGATATAACCATAATAAATATCTATGGATCCAATGAAAGAGCCCAAAATATGTAAGTCAGACTTTCAAAGAGTTGAAAAGGCAAATAGATGACTCCACAGTCATAGTGGGAGGCTTTAATACACCACTTTCTATGAAAGATAGAACAACTGGAAAGAAACTCAACCAAAATGCAGAAGAGCGAAACAATACAATCCACCAACTTGACCTTCTACGCATCTACAAGGCACTTCACCCAACAACAGCACAATGTACATTCTTTTCCAGTGCACATGGAACATTTTCCATGATAGATGATGTGTTAGACCATAAAGCAACCCTTAATAAATTAAAAAACACTGAAATACTGCAAAGCACTTTCTCAGATCACAATGCTATCAAATTAGAAATCAACAATTGGAAGATCAACAGAAAAAGAGTAAACACATGGAAACTGAACAATACCCTCCTTAAGAAAGACAGGGTAAGAGAAGAAATAAAAAGTGAAATTGAAAAATTCCTTGAATCAAATGAGAATGAAAATACAACATACTAAAATCTTTGGGACACAGCAAAAGCAGTGATCAGAGGCCAATTTATAGCAATAAATGCACACATCAAAAAAGAACAAAGAACCAAAATCAACACTTTAAATCAACACCTCCAACAATTAGAAAACGAACAGCAAGAAAAGCCTACAGTCACCAGAGGAAAGGAAATAATAGATATTGGAGCAGAAATCCATGAAACAGAAAATAGAAAGACAACAGAAAAAAATCAATAAGACCAGAAGTTGGTGTTTTGAAAAGATTAATGTAACTGACAAACCGCTGGCAAATTTAACAAAGGAAAAGATGGAGAGAACAGAAATAACATGAGTAACAAATGAAACGGGTGACATCACAACAGAACCAAGTGAAATAAAAAGGATAATATCAGGATACGATGAAGAACTGTACTCCAACAAATTCAAAATCTGGAAGAAATGGACAGATTTCTAGAAACACACCACTTACCTAAAATAACACAGACTGATGTGGAAAAATTGAACAGGTCCATCACAAAAGAAGAAATCGAACAGGTCATCTAACAAAAAAAATGCCTGGCTCAGATGGTTTCACCGGAGAATTCTACGAAAGATTCAGAGAAGAACTGACACCAATCCTACTCAAACTATTCCAATACATAGAAAAGGACGGAATCCTCCTTAACTCATTTTATGAAGCAAGCATAACCTTGATACCAAAACCAGGCAAAGACATCACTCTAAAGGAAAACTACAGACCAATATCCCTCATGAATATAGATGCAAAAATCTTCAACAAAATCCTAGCCAATAGACTCCAACAACATACCAAGGAAATT